ATTCGCTGAAGGCTCTGGTGTTTGGAGTCTGGATTGTACCCAAAGATGCATGATTCATCACTGATGATGACCCTCGGGCTATTACATCGATGGGGAAAGCTCCTCGTTTGGGTTTGAATGATTATCTGTGGCAAATCCTGGGTCTTTTCTGACACACCTCAAAGCAAACTTTACATCCAAGTAGGATTTAGTTAAGCGAAAACAGTTCAAGGAAGACAAGATGAACATCTCTGGATAAATTGTCTGGAAGTCTTGCTTTGGTGATCTCTAGTACTGTCAGCTCTCCAAGTAGGATTTAGTTAAGCGCAAACAATTCAAGGAAGACCAAATGAACGTCTCTGGATAAATTGTCCTGAAAGTCTTGCTTTGGTGATCTCTAGTACTGTCAGCTCACGCGTTATCTGTGTTGAAGACAGAAACAGCAGAAATTGAGTTGTCACATTGAATTGAGAGACACTTTTACCTCACATGCTCTCTTGGTTTTCCTTTCAGTACATCTTATGTCCTGCTCACCCATCCTCCCCTAAATGCTGGTACCTTTCTCCTCCACCTGGAAGTCCTCGGGCAGCAGGTTGTCCTGTCTGCTGCCCAGGCTAAAGGCCAGGAAGGCAAGGATGAGCGAGTCCATGATGCTGATGATGGCCAAGATGTAAGCCCAGCGCACCGTGCAGTTGCCCAGGGTGTATTTGTCGGTCCGTTGGCCGCACATCCGCTTCACCTCCTCTGAGTCCCAGCCGTCAGGATAAATCATGCAGCCGATCACCATGCAAGCGCCTAATAGAGAAAGGGGCGCAGGAGGGCGATGACCTTGAGGTGAGTTGAGGATTGATGAACTGAATGGATGAATATAAGTTGTATCGGGTACATCTTTGACATTTGTAATCTGTCCATCGTGATTTTTCTGTCGCACTTCGTTATAGTATGACGGAGTGAGAATGAGTCTGTTCCATTTGAATTTGGACAAGAGACCAGTTTAGTCAGTCGCTAGCCACATACAACAACAACAACAAAAAAAACCCACAACTTGTATTTAACTTCCATTCATCCATTTTCCGATCCGCTTATCCTCACAAAGGTTCCGGTGGGTGCTGGCGCCTCTCCCCCGTGTTTAACTTTACAGTCGAAATTACTGACATTTATGGCAACAATGTTAGTTCGTGCAACAAAGCAAGCAGGTTAGTTTTAAGTTGGTGTTCAATAAAAAGGGGAACGGGTCTGTAAACCCTTGTTTCTTCGCTGCGAAATGCAGAAACAACAATTCTTGACAACAGCAAAACTTAAAACATGAAGTTGAATTTCCCATTTTAAAATACTATCCACGTTTGTTACACTGGAAGTTTTAGTTCACCCAATATTTTTTACAGTGAATACAGGGGATAATGTTGTGACTGTGTGTCTGCTTTTATTGTGCTCACTGACTGGAGGCCAGCTGCATCCAGGCGCAGATCTTGTACACGCTGCCGGCGTTGCAAAAGAAGAAGAGGCTGAAGCACACGATGCTGCCCACCACCAACAGCATGGAGATGCCCACGAAGAACATGGCCGTCTTGAAGGCCCCGGACGGGATGGAGCCGAAGTCAAGGGCGCTACCTTTGCAGGTGAGCTCCGAAGTGAGCGCGTTGCCGATGCAGTAGTGGAAGAGGCCAAAGTAGCCGGCCTGGGGCGTGTTGACGCTGTCCCCGATCCAGTAAGGTTGGATGAACACCACCACCGTGATGACTGCGAAGGTGATGGTGAACGCGGTCCACAGCACGCCCACCGCTCGGGCGTTGCGCACGTAGTTAGTGTGGTAGATCTTCGCCGCTTCCTGGGCTGGCAACATGGTCACCAACTTTTAAAAATGTCTGTTACAACAACAGCCCCGAAGGCAAAGAAGAGATAATACCACCCACCGGAGAAGAGTTGCAATTTAGAAATGTCCCATTGGGTGCCACTCATGTATGATTCATTGTAAAATGATAACTTGCCAGGTGGCGACTAGGCTCAGCTGATACTTTCAGTCACAAGGTATTACTTTCACTTTCGTTAAGTGACATTAATATTAACACAATGTTCTTAAGCCTTTCTTGCGCCAATAAGGCATATCGATACTGTATTTTTTTTTATCTCACAGGAACACCACCCCGAAAAAATATGCAAAATCGATCTTGCCTAAATCTCCTCACAAATGTGCTCACGGCGGAATGTGTGTCTAGTTGAACACAAAGCTATTCTGCTTTAATCGTGACTTGGATGGAAAATAACACACTGCTCACGCAGGCGGATTCTACGACAGCACAATTATTACGAGCCAGTTATGTGACGTAAATGTATTTTGACACGATGACCACTAGGTGACAGTACAGAGCTGGAAAGTAATGCATCAGTTTGTACGTTCCTGCTAGAACTGTATATCAAGAGATTCGAAAGCAAAGGCAACGACAGGAATAAAGCATATAAATCAAAACATGATTCCTTTCGTGACGTTTAGTAACCCATTTTATTGTTGATACTGCAAGGGCAGACAGTTTACAATGCCCATAAAATCCACATACCGAAGTTACTGTTTAATCTTAAATGGAACTACTTTTCTAGTTTCCTGTGTTGTGTTCAATGTAATGCGGATTTGTTATCATATTGCCTCGAAGAAGCCCCTTGAATGCATAATAACGATACACTTGAACTACAAACAACCCCCAAACTGTAATCAGCCAATGCTTCCCCACAATAACCCTCGCGGATGATGAGCCTGATGTTCCGCCTGGGAATTGACTCACAATATTTACGATCCTTCTAGTTTACTTCATATATTTGTTTACACCAGGTCGTTTGGTGAAAGTGTATCATATTGATGTGTAGCTCTGCACAGTGCACGTGTACTCGAGTGTAGGCACCGACGTGTCAATACACTTAGCATTATTAAGTGATGCTCCCCACCAGTGCGAGAGGGAGGCTGTTTATAATCTTTTTTTTTTTTTTTCCTGGAGCGGCAATCCAATTTACTCATAGAAAATGGAGTCGGGGATTTGTGCGTGAGTGTGCGTGTGTTGTGTGCAAATGGAAACAAGTTTAGGATTTATTTCTTTGCTTACTTGTGTTTTTATATTGCCATGTGCATGCTCAGCTTTCTCGACAGATAAATCAAATATATCGGTCCTCATGAGAGAGAGCATCTTCACAAAAAAAAGAGTTTTTTTTTTAATCACAAATTTTTAACATGCATTCTTGAACATTCGCGGGTGTGGCAGATGAAGAATTCTCGTTTGCATACGTGTCGGGACTCGAATATGGAAGATTCCTCAAGACCACAGAGGAGGAGCAAATCGAGAAGATTCTTTGAGACCACAGTGAGCGAGTCGATGATGCTCACCAAGTTGGAATAAACCACAAAACCATTTGTAAAGGAATGTGGATTTCCCTGGATCATGTCTAAATAAAGAACAGCATTGTGGAATGTGGTGAAAGCAAATGACCTGAGAAAACGTCAATCAAAAATTTGTGCTGCAAGGGGCCACCATAACTTTGAGCTGTTTCATTTTACCAAGACGTTTTGGACACTTTTACGGGAACAGTCCTCGACTGTGAAAGAAAATTGGAGTACCCAGACAGATCGTACGCAAGCACTGAGAGGACATACAAACTCCACACAAACCCAAAATTGAGATTCAAACCCTGAGTCCCATACTATGAGGCCGACCCTGGTAATCATTACCCTAGCGAGCTGTCTGGAAGTTTCTTTTCTTTCCTTGATTTGGAAATAGAAAATATAGCAACATGCAGCGGTCACACCAGAATGTGCAAGACATACAAACATGCAATAAGCAAGGCACAGGGAAGACAACTACGGCCTCGAATTCTGGTTGAATCCACTCGCAGCGACATCACTCAACATATTCCCAATCACTTAAAGGCAATGATGTCATGACATTGCTTCAAACACTTACCATGCATATGATGTGTGATGTCGCCCCTGTGCTGAGAAATTGAGAGCAAATCTGGGCACCTTTTTTTGGTAATAACAAAGAAAATGAATAGTAGGAATTCAGATTACTAAAAAGCGTCTCACAACTCGCAAACCTCAGAAAAAAAAAACAATCAAAACTTAAAGGACCACAATATGCATCATATACAGTGCCCAGCCAGTCCACCAGCTCATTCCTTTGGACTCTACTAAAATCTCATCTGATACAATCATCTGATTCTCAAGGTAAACAATCTGAGCGGTAACTAAAGTGCATGCATGTGTGATATGTAACTCAAAAGGTTTATATGTTCAATCAAACCAATTTCCCTTGCATAAGGATGTCTGATATAAATTGTGCACTTAAAGTTAAAATCAAAGTGCAGGAATGTTCAACTAAGGGCACAGTTGAAATATTTAAAAAAAATAGCCCAACATTGAAACTTCAAAATTTAAACACCATAGAGGTCATACAAATAGTTAGCAAACATATTTTTATCACATACAAATGAATTAGCTGTCTGTTTTGCTCTACGTTGGTCTGTTTTTTTTGTTTTGCTACCTCAGAAGGCTACTAGTAATAGCAAGTGTGATGATGACCTTTAGACCACAACTGGAAGTTGTTGCGACCTAGCATGATGACAAAAGTGGGTCTTGTATCAGAATGCTTGAATGTAACAGAATGTTCACTGCAATGTCGACTGTGTTCACTCTTCATGTGAAGAGACGAATTTCCCAGGCGCACACAATAATCTACCTCCTCATGTTTGTCATCACATCCGTTTCCAAATGGCTGTAAGCAATTAGTTGCTTTTACGCTCGGAGATATGGCGCTGAACTTATTTTTACACTTGCGCCGGCTGTCACGATGCAAAGTCAACTGGCCTTCAACAAGCCTCCTCCACTTGTCATGCATCATCAAAGGGTGAGTAATTTTATGTGAGTTGTTTTATTTTTTTAATATACAAACTGATGTCACATAAAGGATTTGATGTATGGTTCATCGAGCTTTAATGATGATTTTTTTGTCGCAATTTTCGGTGGAGTGATTGTTTGGTACATGTGAGGTCAACGAAGCATCTAAATATGGATTGTGTTTCAAAGGTTCTGCTATATTTATTTAACCCCGCTTGACCACAGCAAATTATTGTATTACGTTATCTGCATTTTGGCTAAACCGTGAACGGCCAGTAAGTGAAGTATTTTGCAGATAAACAATTAGGAAATCTATGGATCTGCTTAATTAAACCCAACTAGGTCAATTTTGCTTTGTTTTCTTTCATACAACTCCTTAATGGTTAAAAAAGAAAAACTTTCATTCAAGTTCTTCTGATCTAGTTTCAGGACTTAAATCGGAAATGTATGCAGAAACAGGAAGTCACACAGAGTTGACAAACTTTCAAGCTCCCTAGTTCTCTTTCTATCCCCTTTGGACCTATCTGGTGTGTCAACACAAAGAGGCTTTTCTACCGGCTCAGCATCTCCTCCTGCATGGCTGCTTTAAAGACTGTTTCCATAGAAACGAGGTGCAGAATCCCCTCAGAGAAACAAGACAGGACGATGGATGGGAGTATGAGTATTTTTGCACAAAATTACATCAAATTTACACCTGCCAGTCAGTTTCTGTTGATCTTATTAGACAACCCCAACACAGATTTGTTGTCAGCTATTTTTAAAATCTGAAATTGATGCTCTGGAGTGAATAAAACAATCCACTGATGCAACTTTGAAACAAGTCGTGCAATTGTCAACAGCAAGCCAGCGATTAAATTGTATTAACATCACTGAATGATTCAGTTGGCCCCCACTCCAAATATTATGAGTTGAAGTGCTTCCTTTTGGTTTCAACAGTATTTCACTTTACCACCAGGAAGATGGTGTTTCTTTTCTTTATTTCGTTTTTTTTTTTTGAAGTGGTGTAAAGCTGAACCTTACCATGCCGAGCGGCATTTCTTGAATATTGCTCCTCTTGATAAGCAAAACTAAATTACCAAAATGGTAAGTATGACGATTTGTTGTACTGATTTGAATCTCCATCGAGAATGAATGGTTGTTTGTCCACACAAACACCGTCATTGATCGCTGACCAGTACAGGGTGAATCCCGCTTCTTGCCCCAAGTCAGCCGGGATCGGCTCCAGTACTCCCGTGACCCTAGTGAGGATTAGCGGTATAGAAAATGGAAGGTCGCCACAGTCCAAGCTTGTAGCTACAGCTGTGGGGGACTTTTGGCCTCCTCGTCTGTGTCATGTGACACAGATGGACTCTATTAGTCTTTTGTGAATGAGAGTGAGGAGGACTTGCCAAGAGTTTGTAGCTGACCATCAGGGAACAACTACTCTTTGTTGACTTTGTACTCTGAACACACGCACATATAGACACACACACGCACGCACACACACACACACACTTCTTTGTAATAGGGTAGTAAGTCTCTCAATGAGTGAGACTGCTGAGGCCACTGCAAGCCACTACGATCTGCCCTGCAGCCGTTGAACCAGCCGCCACACATTGGCAAACCCAGCGGGGGGCGTCCGAGGCTGGGCAGATATGGAGCAAAGTGTGGGTCAGCTTGTGCCCGATGGCACGAGAGCGGGAATGTTCGTCCATAGTGGAGTGTGTTTATTACTCAGTACTGTGCTGATATCTGACATTAGGGTGGGATGAGCAAACACGGGTTTGGTTTCATGCAAAAAAAATGGACAACTCATGAATCAACCTGATTCATAAAAGACCTGCATTATTTATTTATTTAAAAAAATAGTAACTGTTGATAACTACAATATACAACTGGCGGCCCAGTGGTCGAGTGGTTAGCGCGTTGACCTCACAGTGCAGAGGTTGTGGGTTCGATCCCCGCTCCGGCCTTCCTGTGTGGAGTTTACATGTTCTCCCAGGGCCTACGTGGGTTTTTTCCGGGTACTCCGGTTTCCTCCCATATTCCCGAAACATGCCTGGTAGGTTAATGGAACACTCTAAATTGTCCGTAGGTGTGAGTGTGAGTGCAGATGGTTTGTCTCTGTGTTCCCTGTGATTGTCTGGCAACCGGTTCAGTGTGTGCCCCGCCTACTGCTCGAAGACAGCTGGGATAAGGCTCCAGCACCCCCCGCGACCCTTGTGAGGATAAAGCGGATCGGAAAATGGATCGATGGATGGATGCAAACTAGAACAGGGGCGGGTTCATGATGTGAATGTGAGTGTGATTTCTTCCTCTCACCCAAAGTCGGATACGATAGTTTTAAGCTCACCCATGACATGAATGAGGATAACCTGCATAGAAAATGGTTGGATGGATATTGCATCTTTTGTTTTGTTTTTTTAATACAATCTTGTATTAGACCTAATTGGATTGCGCATTTGTACCTCGTGAAATGTCTTTTGAAATTTGATAGTGTCACTTTATATTTTGCGTGCAGGGATGGCACAAAGGTGAACAGGAGGCGTCATACTGCCAAGATGTGGCGATGAGGAACTGCAGTGCTTTCTGCCATCTGACACACACTTAAATCTAAAACACATAAGCGGCTCCTCTGTAACACACCATTCAACGTGCGCAGTTGCGCACACACACACACACACACACACACACACACACACACACACACACACACACACACACACACACACACACACACACACACACACACACACACTCATTAAACCCGGCAACGTTTGCCCCGGAGGGGATGACAGGAAAGTGAAACAACTGTTCTTGATTCAACATCCTCGGCTCTCACTTGGCCATTCATTTGAGTCAGATGAGCGCCAATTCAGGCAGTTTTGTTCCGGCGGAGAGTATGGGAGATTAGCTTTAGCAGCTTCAAAGCCAAATATGGAAAACGCATGTGAGGGATTATAGAGACATCAAAGAATAAAGATGGGGGGAATACATTAGGGTGCAGTCTCAGCTTCCATCTTTCGCTCGTGGCCTCTTTTTGAGTCGCCCTCTCAAGGGGGAGAGGAGAAAAACGTTCCATAGCTGGTATTCAACACTCAATGGACTAATCTAATGTGATTGACAATACCAAATATTCATTGATAGAGTGTTTTATAATCTTTATTGAACCCAATTATGGACATATTTTATGTTGGAAAAATTCTATCGTGCACCACCAAACAAAAATATGTATATACTCAAATAATTATGATTACGTCTTAGTTTACTTACACATTTGTTCAAAACAAGGCAAATGTTTTGCTCAAAATTAGTTGAGGCCTTCAAGATGACATCTGCAGACAGAAGACCCTGCCTAGAA